AAGTATTTTTGGGGCGAGTTTTTCTTATTATCTTATCTGCCATCTGGAAGCCTCTGATAAAAGAGTATTTTACCAAGACTGATTAGCTGGTTAAGAGTCTGTGAAAGACAGCACACCTCATCTGCATGGGGGAGCCCACCCGATGGGGCTGGGACTTCCACAGCTGAGCACCTTTCCCAAGCAGCCACGAGGCCGTGGGACCTTTCACTGCACTTGAAACAGCTGTGATGAGGTGTAGCTTGGAAGCTGGACAGCGAGGACTGAGTGTGGAGCTGTCGGCATGTGCACACGTGTGGGTCTCTGCTGCTTTTTGCCAGCAAAACCGACAAAAGACTTTTCAGGCCAAGCACAGTGGCCCATGCCTACAATCCCAGCACTTTAGGAGGCCGAGGCGGGAGGATCTCTTGGGCTCGGGAGCTCAAGGAGACAGTGAGCCATAATCGCACCACTGTACTCTAGCCTGTGCAACAGAGCAAGACCCTGTCTCTAAAAAAAAAATTTTTTTTTAAGATTTTTCAAAAGTGTGTTATTTTTCAATGACCACCTTGTCACTGAGTATTCAGGAAAATGGATACTCATAAATTGCTGGTGGAAATGTCCTTCAGGGACAGGCATGGTGGCTCATGCCTGTAATCCCAGCACTTTAGGAGGCCGAGGTGGGAAGATCACTTGAGATCGGGAATTCAAGACCAGCTTGGGCAACATGGCGAAACCCAGTCTCTACTAAAAGTACAAAAATTAGCTGGGCGTAGTGGTGCGCGCCTGTAGTCCCAGATACTTGGGAGGCTGAGGAGTGAGAATCGCTTGAACCTGGGAGGCAGAAGTTGCAGTTTAGCTGATATTGCACCACTGCACTCCAGTGTGCGCTACAGCTCAAGACTCCATCCCAAAAAGAGGAATGTGATATAGGGTGGCCGATCTGGAGGGCAGTTTACAGGATGCGTTAAAATATTACAGTGTTCTGTCTTTGGCTAATTCCCTTCTGCACTGTTAAACTCACTCAGATCCACAGCCCCTGTACCTGGGGGACCCAGAACTCATGACTGTGGCTCCCCTGCCCCCACCCATTCCCAGCTCCGACAGCTCCTATGTCTCAGGTGCACACGTCTGCAGCCCCTGTGAGCTCTCCAACCTGGGTCCAGCCCCAAACTTAGGGACTTTTGTGCCTTGTGGCCCATCAGGAAGCTGCCTCATTCCCCAGAACAAAGCTCCTGGTCCCACACTCATCTCAGGGACCTCTCCCAGGGGCTCAAGCGCAGGTCACCCCACACCCATCACTCCCTCTGCTCTCAGACCCCACAAGCTGCCACTGCATGTCCTGAATCCCCTGTGTGTCTGGCATCTGCTCACGGAAAACTTGTGCTGACCCCTGAACTCCCTTCCACCCTGAGAGGGGCGCCCGGGTGGGTAGCTGCAGGGGGCAGGCACTGCAGGGTGGGAGCAGGGAGACCAAAATGGCAAAGCCTGCCCTGACCCCTTACCCACCCTCAGGTGTGGGGTGTAGCAGGGGGAATGAGGTGCACATGGCCCCTGGCATTGCCTCCAGCACTGTCTCCTGCTGATTCAGGTGCCCATGTGGGGCTGGTGTGCTCAGGCTTCTCCATTGCTGTGCAGAGAAGACAGACAAGGCCAGGCCTGCACCTACAGGAGGCTGGAGAGTGAGTGGTGGCCGCCCTGTCCCCTGGGACCATTCCCAGCTGTCAGGAGGAACGGGAGGGAGCCTCAGAGCCAGTACGCAGACAGGCCATGGATGAAAAAGCAAGAGGCCATGAGAGTTAGCTGCTGGATTCATTTAAAAGAAAAGAATAATATGTGTGCATCTGTGTACACACTAAGAGTCCTGCCGGCACATGCAGCCAGTGGTAAGGCTGGCTGCCTCCTGGGAGGAGTCTCTGCGAGCCCCACGAAGGGTTCCAAAAGGAAGGAGAGGAGCGGTGGGTGGGAGGAGCCCGTACAGGCCCAGGCTGATGGGAGGGAGGAGAGGAGTGGAGGGTGGGAGGACCCAGCACAGGCCCAGGCTGATGAGAGGGAAGAGAGGAGTGGAGGGTGGGAGGAGCCAGCACAGGCCTAGGCTGATGGGGAGGAAGAAGAGTGGAGGGTGGGAGGAGCCAGCACAGGTGGAGGTCAATGGGGAACGAAGGAATGAAGTGGGGGGAGAAAGGGAGGCAGGAGCTGCTGTGAGCTCTCAGCCCGTGTTCAGGGATCTGTGTCAGATTCAGGGTCTGCTCACAGCTAGCCTCGTGGCAGGTGCCTGTGGAAGTCTCTGATTTCTCTACTTTCTCAGTGAAGCAAGTGCAAGGGCTGTGGGGAAAGGGAGGATGAACTTTGAAAGATGGTGGGAGAGCCACGAGGGAATGGCTGAGGGTCCAGTCCACACAGGGCTGGGAGGTACCCGGCGCTCTCCTGAAGCGGGCCAGGGGCTGGCTGTGAGTCCCTTCATAGCTGTTGGCTGCCAGGAGAAGCCCAGAGGAGCCGAGGGGAATGTGATGGGGAGACAGGAGCCGGGTTCAGTGACACCTGCGAAGGGGTGATGATGGTGAACCCACAGGGCACCCACTGCCTGTCACCCCAGGGCTCCGAGCCACCACGCTCCTCTGCTTTCCCGGGGGATGCTGGTGCTTGTGACTTTTCCAGTAGGGAGCTGGCATTCTGACCTAGTCCCAGGTACTCGGGAGGCTGAGGAACGAGAATCGCTCGAACCTGGGAGGCAGAAGTTGCAGTGAGCTCAGGTCGTGCCACTGCACTCCAGCCTGGGTGACAGAGCAAGACTCCATCTCAAAAAAAAAACAAAGGAATGTGATTTAGGGTGACCTTTCTGGAGGGTAGTGACTCTTAGACGCCAGGTCCAGGGGAGCTGTGCTCACACCCCCTGCACTCTGCGTCAGGGGAATCGCTGCTGCCCACCCTGTAAAGGTAACCGGTCTCTTCCTTGCACCTGATCAAGACAGGTAATGTCCAGCTTGTGCGAGGCACCAGTGCCCTCACAGTAAACCATAACTTACCCAAAAGAACATAAAAAGTCAGAACCGGAGGCCATTGTGGATTGACATGGTGACCGTGATTCACACGCAGGCAGGCTGAGGTCCCGCGGAGTGCTTGCTCTGTGTCCGCCTGGTGCCTGTGACTGTAGCAGGGGGCCCCATGTGCCACTTAGAAGCCCAGCCCTGGCTACAGGTGCCTCACAGACCGGAACTGTGTCCCTGGTGTGGTACGTCCTGGACCTGTCTTCTTAGCTGTGTCCTTGTTTTCTCTGCATGAGTGGGGTGCTCGCTGACCCTCCTGTCCCTCCCAGTGACTAAGTGAACAATGACATTTCCAAGTTCTGTTTAACTTTCTTATTAAGAAAGATTTAGCCGATTAAAAGCTTCCAAAAATATTCTGTGAAAAATGATCCAATGTTGATTTCCCCGACAGGGGACAGTGTGCTTAGAAGCCGTCTCCATCTGCCCTTGACTCTCGCAGTGAATAGCTTAGTAATTAATGAGCTGCGGTGAATCAGATGAGCTTAAGAACTGGGATTCTGGCACCCTACCTTCAAGAGAGCAGAATGTACTGACGACAGTGGAACCTGGAAAGGCTTCAGGGTGTTTACGGTTACATTCTATTGCATGTGTTAGTGATTTTGCTCAATATCTGTCGTTGTTTTCAAAATAAAAGGCATATCGTTTGGTGACATTCCAGCTGGGATGTCCCCTTGTGTTTGTCACCTGCAAGAGAGGCACTGCCACATTCTACATGCAAAACAGAAGACTAGACAGGCAGAGCTGCCCAGCATTGGACAACAGCTTGAGAGGAAGTGGCCCTACTGCCTTCCAGACTGTGCGTGAAAAGCCCAGAAGCTCCTGTCCCTAAACCAGCAGTTCCCTGTGCAGGAACCGAGCAGCCACGTGCGCAGAGGGGCACACGGCAGGGGAGGCCCCTGCAGCCGTCCACGGTCAGCTCCACGTGGCCATGGAGGAGAGTGGTTAAGTCCTGGTTACGATTCCATCGCCTGGGGAGTGATGCAGCCGTTAAAAGTGTGCAGATTTAAGTTACCGTATGTCATTTTAACACACTGTATTCACTCTGGACGATATTACACATGTAAGATACAAATGTACAACTTATGTAAGCGTATAATAATAAAGCATGTGACACGATCCCGTGAAGATGTGTGTGTCTCTGTGCACTTGTGTATTTGTGTATCTCTCTGTCTCTGTATATGTCTCTCTGTGTCTGTGTGTGCTTTCCCTGTGTGTGTGGTCTGTATGTTGTCTGTGTCTGTGTGCCTCTGGGTAAGTTGTCTGTATTTGTGTGTATCTGTGTTTGTGTTGTCTGTGTGTGTGTGTGTGTGTGTGTGTTTTCTGGATGTTTATGTGTCTGTGCATATGTCTTTTGTGTGTATCTCTGTTGTCTGTGTGTGTGTGTATCTGTGTATTGTCTCTGTGTTTTCTGGATGTTTGTCTGCGTGATGAGTGTTGTATCTCTGTGTTGTCTCTGTGTGTGTGTGTGTGTTTCTGTGTGTTTTCTGGATGTTTGCATGCATGTGTGTTTGTTGTGTGTGTGTGTGTCTGTGTGTGCGTGCACACACACACAGTGTACACATGTTGTTAGCATGTGTGCCCTAAAATCCCAAGGGACTCCTGGTGTGATGACAAAGCTTGTGTCATGTGGACTGTTTCTATTTGCTGCTTGAGACTCATAAATTAGTTATGTTTTTATATCGTATTACAAAAACCCAGAAGTTTACATAATAAGCAATTTACTGTGAATTTAAATAATCACGGGTAGTTCCTTTTTTCTTGGCTGGATGTGTAGCTGACTTGCTTTTTTGGCAAAATACTTGACGTATTAAAATCAGTATTTATGACACTGGTTATGTCTTATTGACCTATTTGATTTCGTGTCTTGAATGAATTTAGTTATAGAAATTATGCTGATGTAATCAGGGCAGATAAATAAATGTCTGACTGTGTTTCATGAAATTTACCAGTTCCTGTTATTTTCCTCCTGTGTAGTAGACGCTGGCGCTGAGACCCCGACGGCCAGGCGGCTCTACACGGCCCCAGGGCCTCCGGAGGGCTACGTCCCCTCCTGGCCAGAGCCCAGTAGCTGCAGGAGCCCCGAGAAGGTCTCCAGCGGGGATGACACGGAAGGTAAAGTGTGGGCGGGAGGAAAGTCGGACGTCTTTGCGGATGAACTAAACTTACTTCCCAATTTTCCATATTGTAATACCTTTATCTAAGCTTGTACTGGCAGGGGTGGGTGAGCACGTTGTGACACTGTATAATGAACCGTACATATGTATTTTACAGCCAGTAAAAGTGATGGTTAAAAAACTTGCCAATGACAGGAAAAAAGGCTTTAGATGGGGGAGACTTCAAGTGGGAATGTGTCTGTAGCCCCTGTTGAAGGCTTTGGAAGCGCTCTGGAGTTACATGGAAAATACCATTAAATGCCTGGTAACTTGTCTTGGGTCAGTAAAACATTATTTCCTTGATTTTCCAAGTTTTTCAAAATTTCTGAGATTGTACATCAACTTTGCAATCAAGGAAATAACTTACTTCGACTCTCTTTTGGACAAAATCATTCTAATTGCTTTGGTTGCATATCTTATGAATGAAAGAACCTGCCGTGTCCTCTACTTCATACAGTTCACTGTTGAGCGTGGAAGAGCCGAAGTCGCCCGTAACATCTTCACCTTCAGGGGGTTTTCCCTTCATGTTGATCTTTTTAAGGAGCACCAGAGGAATTTAGAATTTTCAAATAAAAGTTGGACCTAGATGATCTGTAACAATATAAAGTAAGAAGCTCTATATTCCAAACATTAATTAATTTGCATATCAATAAAATGTGGTTTTTGACTACGTTTATCTTTCTGGCTTCCTAATTAAAGGATCAGAAACCATAAAAGCAAAAACGAGATAACTAGGGAATAATGGATTCATCCTTTCAAGCCCTGTTGAAAATCTTTGAAAAACAGTCATTAGATAAATAGATTATTTATCTAGAAGATTTAATTGTGTTCTTATGAAGAGAAACGACTTTGGGTGAATATGCTTCATTACCTCCTTAATCTGTGGAATGAGGAAACACGTTGGCACTTGCTCCCACCCTCCCTGTCGTCTGAAGTTGACTCTCACGCCCTGTTGTGCCCAGTGGTCCATGTGGCTCACGTCCCCAAGGGCAGGCCTATGCTGGACCCCAGGGTAGAAGGGTCATTGGCCATGAGCCAGCATTGCGCAGGCCATGTCAGGACTGAGCCAGGACAGTGTTCTCACAGGAAGTGGAAAGGTGTTTGCGCCAGCAGACAGGCATTTCTGTTCACAAGCTGCTTCTTGAGGACGTGTGTCCAGGATCCCTTGAGTCATTCTTTCCCTGTTGTCTGGGTCCCCTTGCCACCTCCCCCAGGCAGGCTGTCAGGATGGCCTGGCACCAGTGACTTGAGATGGTAAAGTTGGAAAAAAGGTAGCAATGGCCACCCTTTATTGGTGATACCTACCTTTGTTTTTCAAAGAGAAAGAGAAAAGGCCCAGAGCAAGCCCTCAGCACAGCCTTGCAGCTGGGGAGCCCATGCAGGGCCCTCAGCAGCCAGAAGCCATGAGAAGCAAGGATGGGACCCCTCTCCCTCTGACCCTCCAAGGTTGGCACAGCAAGAAGGAGACCTTTTGAGCTTTTCCAGTTGCAGGCTTTTTGTTTTTTGTTTTTGAGACAGAGTTTTACTCTTGTTGCCCAGGTTGGAATGCAAATGCAGGATCTTGGCTCACTATAACCTCTGCCTCCCGGGTTCAAACGATTCTCCTGCCTCAGCCTCCTGAGTAGCTGGGATTATGGGCACCCACCACGCCCAGCCAATTTTTTCCATTTTTAATAGAGATGGGTTTCTCCATGTTGGCTAGGCTGGTCTCAAACTCCTGACCTCAAGTGATCCACCCACCTCAGCCTCCCAAAATGCTGGGATTACAGGCATGAGCCACCGCGCCCGGCCTTCCTTCGGCTGAAGTTTTAAGCACAGAGGTGAGAAGTGGAGCTGGAAAAGTAATGGCCAACATCGTCGTGGTCTCTCTTGGAAACACTCAGTTCGCCAGCTTTCGTTTTGAATACGCTGGGCTCACACATCCGTTACCTTGTGGCTCCCAGGAAGCTGCAGAGAGAGGAAAGCACTGTTTGTTTTTGCCTTTGCCGTGCCTGGCACCAGACCCCTGGGTGTTGACACTCAGAACCTTGCGCAGCCCTGCCCTGTGGGGCGGCCCCTCGGCAACTTGGATCAGGTGCCCAGGGCCCTGTTGCCCAGGCAGGGGTGGCACACCCGGTGCTCAGCCCTCAGCCCGGCCCCTCCTGGCTGCGCGGCCTCTGAGATGTGGTTTCCACCCTCGTTTCCTTACTTGCTGTGCCTTTGGGTCTGCAGGTCCCGGCCCATCAGGCTGAGGCCCTGCCCTTTGTCTTGTCCTGGGTTCCTGCCACTGCCTGTGAGGAATGGAGATAACCCTATCACTTAGGGCCCGTGCATATTTGTCCTGAAGACAGGCAGGCTGTGCCCAGAGCCAGGACAGAGACCTCAGCACCAGCACCTCAGGCTGTCTTGTCTTTGTTCTTTGGGTAGTCTCTGAATGCAACAGGCACAGACTGGGTGCTCTGGGGCCTCACAGCTTGTCAGGAACGGGCAGAAAAGGGTGGGCTGGTGAAGTCTTGAATGGCGTAGTGTCGGATGTGGTTCTGGGACCTCTCCCACCTGGGTTGATGGGTCTTGGCTGCAGACAGAAACATGCATGTACTCCTCATCTTATTGACGTGGGGCTGCGTCTTGCTCTCCAGAAGCTAGGAAACCTGTGGCCTGTTAGTGACAGAACAAGCCGCTATGCCAGAAGAAAGCTGTCCCTTTTGGCAGATTCTCCATGGAAAATGCTACCCAGACGCATTAAGTAGGCAAATTCACTTATCTGGCAGGACGCTCTTCTGCTCAACGTCCTGGCATCTTGTAGGGACACTGCCCTCCATGAAGTTACAGAGCCTGTTACAGTGATGGGAAGACCCCTCCGGCCTGCTGTGATAAGTCACGTTGTCCTCAAAACATCCTTTACAAAAGTCTGTCATCTCCTGCATGGACTGCATTACAGGACTGTGGGCCCAGCTGACCACTGTGGGGACAGTGAATGCACAGGAGACGCCGTGCCTTCCCCACGGCAAGAGAGCCTGTCCCTATGCCACTGTGCAGGAAGCAAGCACAGTCATGTAATTTTTAGAGGAAAATGTCTGCAGTGCCCCCAGCATGCCTCTGTTCCCTGGGATTTCCAGTGGCACACCCTGACTGGCAACTTGCATGGCATTGCACCTTCCCGCTCCTGCCACACGCCTCCAGGAGGAGACGAGGGATGTGGGGACACAGCTGGCATCTGAGAGCCTCGCTCAGGGAACACAGGAACTGATCAGTCCCCATTAGGTTTCAGAAATGCTTATCTTACATCAAATCAAGATCATAGGTGAGGCCAGGTACGATGGTTCATGCCTGTAATCCCAACACTTTGGGAGGCCAAGGCAGGCAGATCACCTGAGGTCAGGAGTTTGAGAATAGTCTGTTCAACATGGCAAAACCCCACCTGTACTAAAAATATGAAAATTAGCCAGGTGTGGTAGCATGCACCTGTAATCCTAGCTACTTGAGAGGCTGAGGAACAAGAATCACTTGAACTGGAGCAGCAGAGGCTGCAGTGAGCCAAGATCACACCACTGCACTCCAGCCTGGGCAACAGAGTGAGACTCTGTCTCAAAAAAAAAAAAAAAAGATCCTAAGTGAGCTGTACACCTAGTTTATATGAGTGTACCTCTCCGGGTGGACATCACCTTGGAGTTTCACTTTTTATATTCATCTTTTATTACAGATGAATCAAAAGACCTGGAGAGGGTTGGCATTTTTTCCTTGTTTTTGTAAAACTATCATTTAAAATCTTGTTCCTCATTCACTGTACAGTCACTAGCAGTTATGTAAAAATCCAAGTGAAAAGTATTCCCTTTAGAGTTCAGTGCTAGAAAAATATTTTGTTCTATGAACTGGTGTACTTCTTGTTGGCTAAGCGAGGGCTTCCTCATTGATAACCTTTTCGCTTTGGCTGCCAGGAAGCTCAGGTTTCAGCTTCTCATTGTTTTTACTCAGTAGCAGTTGTTTCCTTTGACCTCCATTTCTGGTAGTTACCTTTCCGCACTTCTCAGCCGCTTCACTCATTCTTCTTAGATTAGGTTCTTAAAACAGGGCTTGCTTTCTGAGCCGCATCTTTTCCTTTTCGGAGGTACACTGAGTAATCAGGATTTATCAAGTAATTCACTGTATTAGATGCTTTTCAAATGATGGTGCTGGGCAGTGTGCTCGGGTCCTAAGGATGGGAAGAGCCCGGGAGGGCCCTGGCGTTGTAGGAGCTGATCCTAGCTGGGGAGGCTCCTGTGGGTGAGCCCGGCCTGCAGAATGGGCACAGCTGGAAGGAAACCCGAGGGAAGCGCCAGCTGAGGGGGTAGGGGGCGTGGCCGAGGCTGGCGGGGCGGGGCCTCGAGTGAGGGCGGGGCGGGGCGTCGAGTAAGGGTGGGGCGGGGCCTCGAGTGTGGGCGGGGCGGGGCCTCGAGTGAGGGCGGGGCGGGGCCTCGAGTGAGGGCGGGGCGGGGCCTCGAGTGAGGGTGGGGCGGGGCCTCGAGTGTGGGCGGGGCATGGAACAGGGCCGGGAGGGACGCGGGGGCTGCAGGGCTCACACGGGTCCCTGGGCGTCGCCTCGCTGCCGGCGCGCTCAACCTCCGACCCTGCTTGGAAGACCCGGGTCTCCTCTGGGCTGGAGCCTCCGAGGCCTGCGCTGGTTCTGCGCGCTCCGTTCTGTGGGGGGACGTCGGGGGGTCGTTGATGGGTCCTCTCCGCGCTTCGTCCCCGATTCCTCCGTGGCCGCCCCGCGAGGCCCACCTGCTCCGGCCTGGGCTCGGGCGGGCAGGGCACGGGGAGCACTGGCCCGGGTTCCGCGACTTCAGCTCGGGGTGCGTCCGTCGGTGCCGCGTCCCGCCTCGCCTGGGCCGCCAGGGAGCTCCCCGCGCCGCCGCCGCCCTCCCTTCGCAGTCCGCAGGGACCCGCGCGCCCCCTGCCCCGCCGGAGGGTGAGTCCGACCCACACGTGCGTGTCTGCTGC